CATTTTGGATCAAATGAACATAATTTTCTATTAGATGCGGGTCTTATCAAAACAATTTAGAAAAACATTATGTGGATTTTATGTTGTTAACAAAAGGTGATTCCTGTGTTTAATGGCATTCTCCACTCCATGTACATGTAGATTTATACCAACTATATGCAAATTAATTGTAAATGAAATACATTATTTTAGGAATAAATATGTAAATCACATTGTACGTGCGTTGATGTCATAACAATTTGTAATCATGGTTGTAGTTTCTTTTATGAATACGCCAAACACTGTAAACAAATGTCATATTATCCAGAAACAAATATGACTGTTGTGATGATACCCTAGCTCTTTCGTCGCACACGCACTAGACTGATTTGGCGGGTAGCTCGTGTGTTATTTGGAATAATTGATATGTGCATAAAGCGTCGTGTTACAACGACACTCGTCTTTACTGTATATATATGTCGTCAAATTTGAACCTTACTGCGCCACCGTTGCGTGGTTGAACGCAGTCAATGAACCTCACAGTACCAATGTTGCATATGTTTGAACACGTACAGTCCATAACCTTCGCTGTTCCACCGTTGCTTGGTGGAACACATACAGTCCATGGAATTCGCTATGCCACCGTTGCTTGGTGGAACACATACAGTCCATGAACTTCGCTGTGCCACCGTTGCTTGGTTGAACACATACAGTCCATGAACTTCGCTGTGCCACCGTTGCTTGGTTGAACACATACAGTCCATGAATTTCGCTGTGCCACCGTTGCATGGTTGAACACATACAGTCCATAACCTTCGCTGTTCCACCGTTGCTTGGTGGAACACATACAGTCCATGGAATTCGCTATGCCACCGTTGCTTGGTTGAACACATACAGTCCATGAACTTCGCTGTTCCACAGTTGCTTGGTGGAACACATACAGTCCATGAACTTCGCTGTGCCACCGTTGCTTGGTTGAACACATACAGTCCATGAACTTCGCTGTGCCACCGTTGCATGGTTGAACACATACAGACCATGAACTTCGCTTCCCACCGTTGCTTGGTTGAACACATACAGTCATGAACTACTGTGTCCCACCGTTGCGTGGTTGAACACGTACAGTCCATGAACTTCGCTGTACCACCGTTGCATGGTTGAACACATACAGTTCATGAACTTCGCTGTACCACCATTGCGTGGTTGAACACAGTCCATGAACTTTGCTGTGCCACCGTTGCTTGGTTGAACACGTACAGTCCATGAACTTTGCTGTACCACCGTTGCATGGTTGAACACATACAGTTCATGAACTTCGCTGTACCACCATTGCGTGGTTGAACACAGTCCATGAACTTTGCTGTGCCACCGTTGCTTGGTTGAACACGTACAGTCCATGAACTTTTCTGTACCACCGTTGCATGGTTGAACACATACAGTCCATGAACTTTGCTGTGCCACCGTTGCATGGTTGAACACATACAGACCATGAACTTCGCTTCCCACCGTTGCTTGGTTGAACACATACAGACCATGAACTTCGCTTCCCACCGTTGCTTGGTTGAACACATACAGACCATGAACTTCGCTGTGCCACTGTTGCTTGGTTGAACACATACAGTCATGAACTACTGTGTCCCACCGTTGCGTGGTTGAACACGTACAGTCCATGAACTTCGCTGTACCACTGTTGCATGGTTGAACACATACAGACCATGAACTTCGCTGTACCACCGTTGCTTGATTGAACACGTACAGTCCATAAACTTCGCTGTACCACCGTTGCATGGTTGAACACATACAGTTCATGAACTTCGCTGTACCACCATTGCGTGGTTGAACACAGTCCATGAACTTTGCTGTGCCACCGTTGCTTGGTTGAACACGTACAGTCCATGAACTTTGCTGTACCACCGTTGCATGGTTGAACACATACAGT